TGTGAATCATTACAATTCATTCTTCCAGTTTGTTCAAGCTACCTCATTAAATCTGGAGAGGTGACAGACGCGACAACACAAGCCCAGTTCTCAAGCAGAGCAGAACTTGAGAGGGCTAAATCTCCGAACACTGCCTCATGCAATGCAATTATTGGATAAGTGTGAATCTATTTGTTACTGTTTTTGAGTTTGAAATGCATATTTGCATTTTATATGGGCTTAATGGATGTATTATTTTCCTGATCATCCTTTCTCCTTGAATTTGTTGTTAGAATGAAGCATTGCTCTTTGTTTGTTGTTCTACATTGTTGATTCTTGTTTAAGAAGGCAGGCATCTGATCCTGAGATAAGTTTGCATTACAGACCAACTAGAAAAGCATCCATTATTAAACCCAGCAATAGTTACACCTCTCAACAGAACTTCCAACGTTGATCTAGGTGCCCTGGATTAAAAGTAACATTTAGCCTATGGAGAATTCCCAGAGGATGCTCAACGATGATGATTATGAGATCTGAAAATAGAACCAATAAAGAGAAGACATAAAACCTGGTTTATTTTGTCTGGAAGGGAAAGACTAAAAGAAGACTTAAAGGCGGCTGGGCGCAGTGGCTCATGCCTGTAATCCCAGCACTTTGGGAGGCTGAGGCGGGCCAATCACGTGAGGTCAGGAGTTCAAGACCAGCCTGGCCAACATGGTGAAACCCTGTCTCTACTAAAAATACAAAAATTAGCTGGACATGGTGATGGATGCCTGTAATCCCAGCCACTCCGGGGGGCTAGGCAAGAGGATCACTTGAGCCTAGGAAGAGGAGGTTGCAGTGATCCAAGATTGTGCCACTGCCCTCCAGCCTGGGTGACAGAGTGAGACTCTGTCTCAAAAAAAAAAAAAAAGACTTAAATCCGTGAAGTTAGTTATTCTTACAAAGATACTTGATACATTCTCCTTTTATATAATCTATGGATAAAGTCAGGGAAAACTGGTTTAAATTATAACAAGAGATTTAGGTTAGATGGCAGAAGAAAAATTTCTAGCAGGAAATGCCAGAGAACACCAGGCAAATGTGTGGACTTCATTTTCCCAGTAAAAATGGAACTGTTTAGTAGGCATTGGATTGAATAATCTTACCACTGTGATGATGCAATGCTGAGCCTTATTCTCTTGTGATCATATAACCATTCTATTTTATGCTCTTAGAATGTCAGTCACTTTTATGATCTCTTCTTGGAAGCAAAAATACCCTTCTCAATACAATTCTCAGAAGGTAGTGTTTGATTATTGAATTTGATTATTATTATTATTTTAGATAGATAGGGAGTCTTACTATGTTTCCCAGGCTACTCTCAAACTCCTGGGCTCAAGCAATCCTCCTTCCTCAGCCTTCCAAAGTGCCAGGATTACAGGTGTGAGGCACCACACCTGGCCAAGATTGTTGAATTGTTTATACCTGTGTTGTAGTGAAACAGATACTGAAAAAAAAAAAAAATGCTGTGTTAAAATTCCAGACTGAAGGTGATTTTTCTTAAAGCTGCTGATGAGGAGGGTTTTTAAATTGGTTTCTCATAACCTGTGATGTCTTGGGCCTCATATTATTATGATGGATGTTTCTTTTCTAAGAAGATTACCTATTCACTATTCACAATAGAAAGTGAATAGAAAGATATGTACTCACTTCCATGCCCATCAATGGTGGAATGGATAAAGAAAACATGGTAATATACATATATATCATGGAATACTACACAGTCTAAAAAAGAACAAAATCACTGTCCTTTGCAGCAACATGGATGCAGCTGGAGGCTGTTATCTTAAGGGAATTAACACAAGAACAGAAAATCAAATATTACACATTCTCACAAGCAGGAGCTAAACACTGGATACTTATGAACATAAAGACGGCAGCAGTACACACTGGGGACTACTAGAGGGGGAAGAAAGGGAGTGGGGCAAGGGCTAAGAAACTAACTTAAGGACTATACTCAGTGCCTGGTTGACAGGTTCAGTTGTACCCGAAACTTCAGCATCACACAATATACCCATATAACAAATGCACACATGTACTCCCTGAATCTAACACAGAAATTGAAATTATTTAAAAAGTAATTTGTAGTTACCAGAAAAAAAAAAGATGAATTATTAAGAACCTCAAGCTGGGCATGGTGGTTCATGCCTGTAATCACAACACTCTGGGAGACGGAGGCGGGGGGATCGCTTGAGCCTAGGAGTTTGAGACCAGTCTGGGCAACATAGGGAGACCTCGTTTCTGCAACAAAATTTAAAAAGTATTAGCTGGGCATGGTGGCACATGCCTGTAATTCCAGAACTTTGGCAGGCCAAGGTAGGGGGAATCACTTGAACCTGGGAGGCTGAGGCTGCAGTGAGCTATGATCATGCCACTGCACTCCAAAAGAAGACCTCATATTCTGTAGGCTTGAGTTTGAGACCAGTCTGGACAACATAGGGAGACCTCGTCTCTACAAAAAAAAAAAAAAAAATATATATATATATATATGTGTGTGTGTGTGTGTGTGTGTGTGTGTATGATGTGTGTGTGTGTGTATGATGTGTGTGTGTGTGTGTGTGTGTGTGTGTGTGTGTATATTAGCCAGGCATGGTGGTCCATGCCTGTGGTCCCAGATACTGGGGAGGCTGAGGTGGGAGAATCGCCTGGGCCTGGGAGGTTGAGGCTGCAGTGAGCTATGCTCATGCCACTACGCTTCAAAAGAAGAAGACCTCAAATTCTATAGACTGAGGGAGTGGGGGCAGTTAGGGGAAGATCTGAGTAAAAAGCATGGTTTCCCATTTGACCCTCAGATATCACCACCTAGTGAATTGTAATGGTTTATGTCACAACATTTAGGCCTCAGCCTTTTCAATAGAGTTGAATCTTTTTTTTTTTTTCTGAGACAGAGTTTCGCTCTTGTTGCCTAGGCTGGAGTGCAGTAATGTGATCTTAGCTCATTGTAACCTCTACCTTCCAGATTCAAGCAATTCTCCTGCCTCAGCCTCTGAGTAGCTGGGACTACAGGCATGTGCCACCACATCCAGCTAATTTTGTATTTTTAGTAGAGACGGGGTTTCTCCATGTTGGTCAGGCTGGTCTTGAACTCCTGACCTCAGGTGATCCACCCACCTTGGCCTCCCAAAGTGCTGGGATTACAGGCATGAGCCACCGCACCCAGCCTGAAGTTTAAGCTTTTATCTGTAAAATGTTTTCTTAAAATCTAATAACTTTTTTGTTCCCAGTATATATAATTTCCTTCGTGACATAATTAACTGAAGCAATGCACTTTATTTTTTAAAAACAAAACAACTGAACAAAATAAATTATGATTCTAAACCTGATCTTCTGATACTGTGGATTGAGGAAACTTAATTCTTATAAAATAAAGATTAGGCCATCTGACAATTTCCAAAAATTAAATACACCATACCTGCAAGGGTTTTTAAAAATTTCTTTTTAAGAAAACATTCTACCAGAGCCTTAAAAAATTTAGTGATGGTGTCTCACTGTGTTGCCCAGACTTGTCGCAAACTCTTGGGCTCAAGTGATTATCCCACATTGGCCTCCCAAAGTGCTGGGGTTACAGGTGTGAGCCACCAAGTGCTGTACCTTCCAAGGTTTTGAAGTAAATTTCCAGATGTTCTAATGTCTTCTGCTTATTTAAACCTTTTAAAATTCATCACCATCATTTCAAATACACATTTTGAAACTTATTTGAAAATAAAATCAGGTTGTTTCCTGGTGTAGCCAATACAGTGTCTAAATTGTTAGGAGTCTATGGTGATGCCAAAGACAATTGTAACTTGAGATGGTTGATTCTAAAGCTCTCAGCCAAGTAACATGCAAAATGGAGAAAAGAGCTTACATTTAAGGCTGGATGCAGTGGCTCATGCCTGCTATTCCAGCATTTTGGGAGGCTGAGATGGGCGGATCACCTGACACCAGAAGTTCGAGACCAGCCTGTCCAACATGGTGAAACCCTGTCTTTACTACTAAAAACACAAAAAAATTAGCTGAGCATGGTGGTGTGCACATGTAATCTCAGTTACTTGGGAGACTGAGGCATGAAAATCGTTTGAACCTGGGAGGTGGAGGTTGCAGTGAGTCGAGATATGCCACTGCACTCCAGCCTGAGTGACAAAGCAAGACTCTGTCTCAAAAAAAAAAAAAAAAAAGCTTACATTTAAGACAGCTTCTCACTTTCTCTTGCCCCTTGCTTCAGCCTCACTTCCTTTTCTTCTCCCCTTTATTTCTATATTATCATTATGTTTCTATAGTTAAATATGGTGCTGGAATGTAATTTTTAAAGTAAACCCTTCTATTGCCTTAACATTTTTTTTTTTTGTCTTGTAAAGGAAGAAATGTTTTAAAAACAGAAGTACTACTACTTTCTTGATGTATTTTTCCCTATATGTGTTTATAACACTTAAAAAGTATTAAAATAAGGCCAGGTGCGGTGGCTCATGCCTGTAATCCCAGCGTTTTGGGAGGCTGAGGCAGGGTGATCACCTGAGGTCAGGAGTTCGAGACCAGCCTGGCCAACACGGTGAAACCCCATCTCTACTAAAAATACAAAAATTAGCTGGGCATGGATGTGGGGGCACCTGTAATTCCAGCTACTCAGGAGGCTTTGCAGGAGAATTGCTTGAACCTAGGAGGTGGAGGTTGCAGTGAGCTGAGATTGTGCCACTGCACTCCTGCCTGGGCAGCAGAGCGAGACTCTATCTCCATCTAAAAAAAAAAAGAATTAAAATAAAAAACTTAGTTTTCTCCTCTAATAAAAGTAAACTACATCTGTGATATACACGTTTCTTTTTTTCTCTGATGGGTTAAATATAATTTGCCAGATGAGATAGTTTTCATGCTGATAAGTGTTTTTTCATCTGTTCAGAATTATCTTTCTATGTAAATCCATCACTAAATTTCAGTGTCTTTGCAGAACGGCAGAATGACTTGGGTGATCAGGTTCTGTTTTTTGTGTGCTTTGTTTGTTCTAGATACATTTCATATTGCTCTTCAGTCGACAAGGGAAATTACGGCTACAGAAATGGTACATCACTCTGCCTGACAAAGAGAGGAAGAAGATCACCCGGGAAATTGTTCAGATTATTCTCTCCCGTGGTCACAGGACAAGCAGTTTTGTTGACTGGAAGGAACTAAAACTTGTTTATAAAAGGTGTGAGTAACTTTTTTGAGAGCTCAGTTTCTCAGTCTTGCTTTGGTTTGTTCTAATCCTGAACATTTTAGATTGCTATACCAATTCCATCACTTACTGAAATCTTTGAAGGCTGGGGCCCAGATATTTGTACCAATAGACTAACTAGAAAATAACTCTCATTTTATTGAAAGAAATTCTAGGTGCCAGGATTCAGGATTCTAGGTAAATAAACTATACCTTGATAGTGCATGCATGCATTCAAGAAAAGTGGTATGAAAACCTGTTCCATTCCTGGCATTGTTCTTTTTTAATTTTTTGGAGATGGAATCTCACTCTGTCACCCAGGCTGGAGTGCAATGGCACAATCTCGGCTCACTGCAACTTCCACCTCCTGGGTTCAAGCGATTCTCTTGCCTCAGCCTCCCGAGTAGCTGGGATTGCAGGCCTCTGCCACTATGCCTGACTAATTTTTGTATTTTAAGAGAGGTGGGGTTTCACCATGTTGGCCAGGCTGGTCTGGAACTCCTGTGCTCAGGTGATCCACCTGCCTTGGCCTCCCAAAGCGCTGGGATTACAGGTGTTAGCTATCATGCCCGGCCATTCCTGGCATTGTTCTAATGGCTGTAAATACATCAGTGAACAAGACAGATGACATTCCTGGTCTCATGTAGTATACATATTTATTAAGTAACTAAATAAAATATTTTCAGTTAGTAACAAGTGCTTTGGAAAAAATGAAAGTTAGTGTGACAGAGAGATGGGGATGTGTTCGGTGGGACAGCTCTTATTATGCCTATTACTTGAATTTGTAATGAGTACATTGAGGACACAAAGAGTTTAAGTAGTCCATTCCCAGTCACAGTAATTGAGTGTTAATTGCTAGAGCCAGGCTTCAAATCCAGATCTTTTTGGTTTTAAAGCCTGCATATTCTTTTTACCATACCTGCTTGCCATGGCAAGACCATTACTAGAAAGCACCCTCCATAGGTGAGAGAACTAAGCCTGAGAGGTAACATGATTTTGCCCTTGGAGACCCAGGCAATTGATGCCTAAGCCAGGAACAGAACACAGCTAACTTGACCTTGTATCCAACACCCCACTGCAACTCCTGGAAGGAGTTATGCTCCTTAGATATGCTCTTGCAAAGGGTGTTTATAAAACTCATTGGGAAAAACAGAGGTAACCTTCACAGACTGATATTCAATGGAGTAAATTACCAGCAAGTGCCCGCAAAGCTCCATCTGCTGGGCCCAAGGTTGGAGTCTGACAAGTTGAGGAGGGAGGCTCACACAGAATGACTGAAGCCCATTGTCAAGCTGTAGGGTGGGGAGCGTGGGCTCCTGACAGCACTGGTCAGGGCTTTCTATTTTACAAAAAACAATGGACAAGCTGGAGAGGGGTGTGAAGACACCCTGATTACCAGGGGCGAAAGGATAATAGCTCTTCAAGGTACAATTTTGTTGAGAGCCTTTCATGCGTAATTAACGGAAGTAATCCAACCCCCACAGCATTTTCATATATTCTGATTTATATTTCAGGAGGCTATTGGGGGTGATGGATAATGATTTCATTCTTGGATGAGGAGAGTCTCGGGGGGGAGGAGGTGACTTTACAAATTCATGGGAAAAACTGTCTCCAGATTGCTTAATGTATCGTCATATTTTGCTTTTGTTATTTTTCATTTCAAGGTATGCTAGTTTATATTTTTGCTGTGCAATAGAAAATCAGGACAATGAGCTCTTGACGCTAGAGATTGTGCATCGTTACGTGGAGCTGCTGGACAAATATTTTGGAAATGTAAGTGTTGTCCATGTCGGTTAGGATTAGCTACAGTCCCCATCTCAGCTCTTACTTCAGTTCTGTCTCTCATCGCATCCCTTTTCTCTCTCACATCTAAAATATGAATTGAACTTGAACCAAAGATCACCTTAGTCCCCTAAGATTAGAATACAAGACTTTTCTCCCTACCTGTAATTCTCAGTAAATGAAAGACCCAAAGATTTCCTTTTTCCTTTTTAAATAGAGACAGGGTCCTGCTATGTTGCCCAGGTTGGTCTTGAACTCTTGGCCTCAAGTAATTCTCCCACCTTAGCTTCCCAAAGAGCTAGGATTATAGGCATGACCTACCATGTCCGGCCACCCAAAGCTTTCAAGAGGTGGATGTATCTTTATCTTCATACTACAAATGCACCAGAGACCTTATTTCAGTGAATCAGAATTTAACTCTGAAGGATTTCTTGATATTCTGTTCTTTATACTTCGTTGACTTTGTCATCTCTTTTCTGTTTTGACTTTTTATCCTTTCTCTGGCTTTTTTTCTAAGCTATAAGTATTCTTAGTTATTTATGCATGAGAAAAATAGCAACAAACAAGAAAACCAAATCCTTTTCTTTCACATTGCTATTCAATAATCTTTGTGCGTTTTCTGCCAAGTGATGTGCTATACTAGGTGCTCCTGTCCTCAGAACTCATTCACTTGGCAGTGCTTACAGCATGGGTCCATCTTTAGTCTCCAAGGAAATCAGCAAGTTACCACTGAACCCTCCTGTGGGTTGACACCAGTGATTCCTCTTGAGTCTTCACCTGCCTTCACCTGCTTCTCGCTGCAGCACCGTACCCTCATCCACCATGACGCTTTCTTTAAATTCTTGATTTTGCCATGACATTGATTTCTGCTGACTCTTGTCCTGTTATTTCTGAAGGCCCCTCCTTGGTTTCTTCCACTCAGCCATCCCTAAATGCCCTCATTTCTTCCTAACTCTGTGTGTACTGACTCTCTGCCCTGGAAATCCCTTACTATGTGACTCTTCTTCCCCTGGTTGGTGACAGTCTTCACTGGGCTTCTCATGGTCCAGAACCAAACTCATCTACTGAAAATCTGTTCTGTCTTGTGATTGGAATTTGTTATGTTCCAGGATCCTTCCGTGCAAAAGGATGCTGTTTCTTTTGTCTTTTTCTACACTTTACCGGAATCTGCCTCTATCTATTCAAATTGGGCTGACATTCATTTCCTTCTTTCCACTCTCACTGGTATAGGTTCACTTGGAATTTCAATTTTGCTTTTCTCTTAAACATCCTACCTGGCTTTTTATGCCTCTGAGCTTTTCTCTGTTCGCCCTCTGGCCTTATTAGTTACCATCTTCCTTAAAAAACCCAGATATAGGTGTGGCATTCCTTCACAGCCACTTTCCATCATGTACAATAAATAAAATCAATCTCCCTAGCCTGTCGTTTAACCTTTCAAAGCATGGATCCCTGACCACTCCTCCAGCCTTATTGCACTTCCCTTTTTTATTGATTGATTTATTTATTGAGACAGAGTTTTGCTCTTGTTGCCCAGGCTGGAGTGCAATGGCATGATCTCTGCTCACTGCAACCTCTGCCTCCCGAGTTCAGGTGATTCTCCTGCCTCAGCCTCCTGAGTGGCTGGGATTATAGGCCCCCGCCACCATGCCTGGCTCATTTTTATATTTTTATTAGAGATGGGGTTTCACCATGTTGGACAGGCTAGTCTTGAACTCCTGACCTCAGGTGATCCGCCTGCCTTGGCCTCCCAACGTCAGGCGTGAGCCATCGCCTCCAGGCTACATTTCCCTTTTTATATACCTGAGAGTTCTCCAGCAACAAGGAATGACCTTGGAGTGTCCTTCATTGGCACCCAATTTGCTCGACCACCAAATTGCAATTCTCTTGAGACCATGCTTTGTGACTCATTATATACCCCCACCGCTTAACTTGTAACAGCTGTGGGCCAGATCTGATAGCAAATGTTCCAAAACATTTAATCCAGTTAACAGTCTCAAGAAATAAATCATTGGATTTGGAAAGTGTTTTCTTCTCTTAATACCCTCTTCCTTTACTCACTGAAGATTTTTGTTAAGTGTTAGGATAATTTGCTTCCAAAAGAGTTTTTTTAAATTATTATTTTCTTTAACGGAATGAGCAGTATTTGCAATATTGAACACATTTTATCACATTTGTTGCAACACTTTTCATAAGGATGAACACTGGATAGACTTCTAAAAGAATTTTTCCTCCCTCCCTTTTCTTCCCCCTTGCAAATAATATTGTAAGACCTAAAATGTTGCTTCAGGGATTTCAGGTTGTTGGTCAGTATATAACAGCAATAAGACAACTAGACCATCTTTTCTTTCTCTTCTTGGTGTACCAAGTTTATTTTCATTTTTTAAAGGAGAAATTTGCAAATGTATAATAGCACGTTTTCAAACATATTATTTAATTTAATACTTTCTACTGTTCAAATGAATTCTCACATTTTTGTACTTTCCTTTGAAATAAACTACAGACTTCGCCTTTGGCAAGAGCCTGAAGAAGTTTCCCTGAGGTCTGAGCATTCCCGTAACCTACCTTTTCTTTCTCATTTCTGAACTCTGGCCTGACCTGGCGCATTTTCGTAGATTAAATCCAACTGTGATAATGTGAATTGTGGCTGAATTTTGATCTCAATCTATCTGACCAAATTTCAACCAGACATCTCAGGGCATTCTGCTTCTCAAGAGAACTTGAGTGACCTTCGCCCATGCTAAACCCAGTTAAAGTGCAAAGAGAGTCAGAATGAATTCCCATTTCTCTAACATTAATTTTCCATTCTATTTTGGTATACCTTTGGAAGCTCTGTCTTTGTCATGTACCAAAATTTAATTTATTAAAAAATTCAATGAATCTTTCATTAAGCTAAGAGCAGCTAAGAGCAATTCAAGGCTATGTGCCCAGTAGAAGTTCAGTTCTTATTAATTAACAGTAATGAGCAAAGACTTCCAGTACTGATTCTCATTGACATAATCTCAGCAATAAAATATTTCTCTTTGGTTTTCTTTTCCTCCCATATTAATACTAAAGCTTTCCTTGAATTCTGCCCTTATATAATGTTATCTAGGGGAAAACTTGGTACTGAGCTTCTCTTATAACACTGGAAAATATTATCTGCTGAAGACAGATGGATGAAAATCTCTGGCTACTAATTTAAAATATATATATTTTTAGCACTTTTCAATTCCAAGGAGATTTACAAGGATTAACTAGTTAATCTTCCGATCTTCAGTAAGTAGCATTAACCCCAAATTATAGAGGCTCAGGGGAAATGCCTCAAAGTCTCATGCCAGATAAAGGTCTGAGGATTTAGATACCTGCCATATTTCTGCATTACAGACTATAGTGTGAATTTTTACTGGTGCCTCCATGTGTGAGGGTGTTGATGTCCCAGAGAGCTTGTGAACTTGATGTAGGGAGTTTTTTGTGTGTTTGTTTTTTGCTGTTGGGGAAGAGCGCTGTGAGTCCCCCAGATGCTGGTGTAGGCTCACTGACTCACCAGTTCAAGGATTTGGGGCCTATTATGTGTCTCTGTTTTACAGATGAGAAAAATGGCCCTCAAAAGGGTTAAGAAGTATTTACTTTGCTAACCTTGTAGGGCTGCTGGGAGGGGCAAAGAGATGACGTGATAGCAATACTCAACAAACTCTTCATTGCTATATAGTTGTACATTGCATTATAATTATTCTTGTTTTATTTTATTTTATTTTATTTTGAGATGGAGTCTCACTGTTGTCACCCAGGCTGGAGTGCAGTGGCGCGATCTCGGCTCACTGCAACTTCTGCCTCCTGAGTTCAAGCAATTCTCCTGCCTCAGCTTCCCTAGTAACTGGGATTACAGGCGTGCACCACCACGCCTGGCTAACTTTTGCATTTTTAGTAGAGATGAGGTTTCGTTAGGTTGGCCAGGCTGGTCTGGAACTCCTGGCCTCAGGTGATCCACCCACCTCGGCCTCCCAAAGTGTTGGGATTATAGGTGTGAGCCACTGTGCCCGGCCTGTTGTTATTTTATATATAGCTTTATGGTACTTATATAGTTTACTGTTATTTGAAGCATTTGCTGCATGTAACTTGAAACTTTTTGTATTTACTTTAGAGCATAATTTAATAAGGACATGTGCTTCTTAGATTCTGTCCAAAAGGATTCAGTTGGTGAAATGCCAGAAATAATCTCACTGCATCATGAATTCTGCTGTAAGAAAAGAACCTGACGCCAAATTACAGTAGAGCACAAGGCTAGGACATTGAAGATAAAGTTAAATGATAGTTTCTATCTTTGCCCATGTTGCCCAGTCTGGTCTCGAGCTTTTGACCTCAAGTGATCAGCCCGCCTCGGTCCCCAAAAAGTGCTGGGATTACAGGTGTGAGTAATTAGGCAGTAGCTTCAGAAACGTGAATTGGGACTGGGAACGGTGGCTCATGCCTGTAATCCCAGGACTTTGGGAGGCCAAGGTTGGGGGGGAAATCACTTAAGGTCAGGAGTTCAAGACTAGCCTGGCCAACATGGTGAAATCCTGTCTCTACTAAAAATAAAAATAAAAAAATTAGCCAGGCCTGGTGGCGTATGCCTGTAATCCCAGCTACTCAGGAGACTGAGGCAGAAGAATTGTTTGAACCCAGGAGGTGGAGGTTGCAGTGAGCTGAGATGACTCCACTGCACTCCAAGCCTGGGTGACGGAGTAAGACTGTCTCAAAAAAAAAAAAAAAAAAGAAAGAAAGAAAGAAAAAAATATGAATATGAACTGGTCTAAGGGTCTTCCTGGATGTTTTCTCTCATTCTCAGATGGCAGCAGACTCAAAGAATAACCGTAGGGTAGCACTTTCCAGTTGCTGTATGTGAAATAGTTGCTCAGTTGTAACATTCTTTATAATGCCTATGGAACTTGCATATTCATTTCTCTTCAGATCTAAAGATAGTAACTGTATATCAAGGTGTGTGTGTGTGTGTGTGTGTGTGTGTGTATCATGTCTCTAACTCTGCATACCACCTTACCTTACCCTTATCCCTTGAAACTAGTAGAGTAAATTAATTGCCCCATGGCTGCTGGAGGACCCAGACCTGGAGATGCGTCAAAGTGGGGTATAAGAAGTTCCTAGAGAATTTTCATTAGTATCTGTCAGGTTCACTTTGCAGGATTTTAATTGTTTGTTTCTCCTAATGAGGCTCCTGTCTGTCTTGGATTCCTGGTCTACGCCTGCCTTGAACTCTGAGGTTCCTCAGCTTGCTACTATGACTCCTGACTTGTGCCTTTTCTGACCTCTGGTAACTGCTTACTTCTCATACCTTCTTTCATGTACATGGATGTCTGATCTATTGTGATTTCTCTTTGTTTCTTTCTATTGTTTAAAACTGCAAAAATGTTGCATATTTTTACATACCCCTCTAAACATATAGTTTTTAAAAATGGGATTTCATTCTGCATATTATTCTGCAACTTTCTTTTTTTCCCCCTTACTAGTCTATCTTAGAGCTCTTGCCATATTTGTGCATGTAAATCTACCTCATTCTTTTCAGCTTCTACACAGAAAATGCTTGCAACATATACAACAGCAGGGAGAGGAGACAGTATCTGTGATACCGAAAGAATCATTCAAATTTCTAAGATAAATATTGCAATAGAAAAAAACAAAGTCTTTAAGAAGCAATTTGTAGACAAGGCAAGAAATGGAAAAGGCCAGTGCACATCTAATAAGATGTACAGTCTCACTAATAAGCAGGGAAGTACAAGTTTAATTAATGTTCATCTGAAAATTTAGAGACTATCCATTGCTGGAGATGGCATAAATAGGTAATCGCTCCTACTGTTAGTGAAACTTTTAAGTTTTATAGACTACTTTGGAGGACCACATTTTAGTATTTATCAGTTTTAAATATATAAATCCTTTGACCCAACAATTCCCTGAGGAATTTATTCCTACGCTATACTCAAATTAGTGTACAATACACAACAAAAATTATGGCAGCATCATTTAGAATAAAAAGTGGAAACAACCCGAAGTCTGCCCATATCCATAAAGGAACTGCTTAAATGAACAATGGTATACCCCCAGTATGCCATGGTAATTCTGTGTAGAAGTTGGATTCATTTTGATCTGTCAACTTAAACCATGTTCCTTGTGGAGTTTGCTAGTTTATTGACCTAACTTGTAAATTATGGAGGAATTTGCTAGAATATTGACATCTATTTCATGCAAAGTTATAGCATTCAGTACAACCATAGAATTGTATCTGGGATGCCATTAATCTCTTCTAGCATATTAGAAACAAGGCCTATATATATTTATTTTTATTCTTTCAGAAGGAGTCTTGCTCTGTCATCCAGGCTGGAGTGCAGTGGCATGATCTTGGCTCACTACAACCTCTGCCTCCTGGGTTCAAGTGATTCTTCTGCCTCAGCCTCCTGAGTAGCTGGAATTACAGTCGTACACCACCATGCCTGGCTAATTTTTGCATTTTTAGTAGAGATGGGGTTTTACCTTGTTGGCCAGGCTGGTCTTGAACTCTTGACCTCAAGTGATCCACCTGCCTCAGTCTCCCAAAGTGCTGGGATTACAGGCATGAGCCACCATGCCTGGACAAGGCCTCTATTTGAACTTGCTCCTTCATTTATCTTACAAGCATTTTTTTATGCCTTACAATGTGCCAGAAACCAGGGGTATAAAGATGATGAAGACAAAGTTTCTGTCCTGAACTCACAGTATGGGGGGAGTGATTAGTAATCAATAAGCATAAACTAGTGCACAGAAGATGTAGGTGAGAACCCACAGGAAGTGATGTGAAATTTGAATGGGGAAAAGGGGATTTGGGGAATCGCCATGTGCCTGACTTTTGAATTTGGCCTTGAAAAAATGAGCTTGGTTTTGCCAGCAGGAGAATAAAGAAAAGGACATTTGAGGACACAATCCAAGAATTCTTGGAATGTGCAGAGGGCAAAGGCACAAAAAAGCACCGTGACATTGTGAGTTTGTGGCATGTGTGTCAGATGCACGGATGAGCACTGGTGCAGGAAACCAGACAGCAGGGCCCAGGCTGGTAAAGATTCCTATATGCCTTTGTCCTGAAGACCTTACACAGGAGAGGCACAAGATCAACAATTTAGCAAAGCATTAGTGGTCAGTGGTCTTGAGCAGGCACAGCCGCCACCTGGAAGGTCATTGCAGTGGCCTGATTGAGAAGTGTTGCAGGCCTGAGCAGCAGCTGTGAAAGCAGAGAAGGGAGGAAAGGTAGGGACTTATTTAGACAATAGAATCAGTAGGAACTGATGACCAAATCCAGAGAGATGAGATCAAGGGAGGGAGAGGAGTGAGAGGGGAAGGGGAAGTATGTTAGTTGAACTCTAGAATGAATTAGATGGAGCAATTAGAAAGAGGTTGCAACTCCTAAGCAAAATAGGGACTAAAGGAAAAAGAATAATCTTGATGTCAGTTTGGGACATGGTGACATGGATTGAGGAATAGGCAAGTAAATATGTCTAGTTAGTGGGTGAAGATATTGGACTAGTGGCCCAGAGGGCGATCAGGGCTGGTCATCTAGGTTTGTTGAGCTCCCTGCATGCTAGACACAGCTGTAGAGAGCCAGCAAGATGGTCCAGGAGAATGCATTTTGCAAGGAGAAGAGGCTCCCTTGAGGACCATGAATATTCCAGGAGAAGATGGATGGCTAGAATATAAGTAACATGAAGCAGAGATGTTTGTCTGTTCTGTTGATTGATATGTGCTAGGCACACCTTAAATACTTCTTAAGCAAATGCAGGGTAGGAGGGAGATAAATTATCCAAGGAATCTGAGAAGAAATTATCAGAGATAGACGAGAAAAAAAGGCATTAAGTGGTATTGCCAAAATCAGAAGGGCAAAGGAGAAGAGATTTTCAAGGCACAGACTGGTGAAGAGTACCACATGCAGCTGAGAGGTAAACATTGGGGGGGGGTCTGGAGACTTTCTTCTTCTTCTTTTTTTCTCCTCCCTTTTTTTTTTTCAGTTATACTTTAAGTTCTGGAATACATGTGCAGAACATGCAGGTTTGTTACATAGGTATATATGTGCCATGGTGGTTTGCTCTACCCATCAGCCTATCATCTACATTAGGTATTTCTCCTAATGCTATCTCTCCCCTGACCTCCCACCCCATGACAGGCTCCGGTGTGTAATGTTCCCCTCCCTGTGTCCCTGTGTTCTCATTGTTCACCTCCCACTTATGAGTCAGAACATGCAGTGTTTGGTTTTCTGTTCTTGTGTTAGTTTGCTGAGAATGATGGTTTCCAGCTTCATGTCCCTGCAAAGGACAGGAACTCATCCTTTGTTATGGCTGCATAGTATTCTATGGTGTATATGTGCCACATTTTCTTTATCCAGTCTGTCATTGACGGGTATTTGGGTTGGTTCCAAGTCTTTGCTACTGCGAATAGTGCTGCAGTAAACATGCGTGTGCATGTGTCTTTATAGCAGAATGATTTATAATCCTTTGGGTATATACCCAGTAATGGGATGGCTGGGTCAAATGGTATTTCTGGTTCCAGATCCTTGAGGAATGGCTACACTGTCTTCCACAATGGCTGAACTAATTTACACTCCCACCAACAGTGTAAAAGCATTCCTATTTCTCCACATCCTCTCCAGCACCTGTTGTTTCCTAACTTTTTAATGATCACCATTCTAACTGGCGTGAGATGGTATCTCATTGTAGTTTTGATTTGTATTTTTCTAATGACTAGTGACAACAGCTAGAATAGACAATTGCGATCTGATTAAACTAAAGAGCTTCTGCACAGCAAAAGAAACTATCATCAGAGTGAACAGGCAACCTACAGAATGGGAGAAAACTTTTGCAATCTATCCATCTGACAAAGGGCTAATATACAGAATCTACAAAGAACTTAAACAAACATACAAGAAAAAAACAACCCCATCAAAAAGTGGGTGAAGGATATGAACAGACACTTCTCAAAAGAAGACATTTATGCAGTCCGGAGACTCACTGAGCAGAGTTTCAAGAGAACAGGAGCTTCAGTTGGGTGGGTGGGGTATGGTATGGAAAGAGAAGGTGTCAGTGAGTAGAGGAATAAGTAGGGAGTAAGACAGCAAGGATAGTGTGTGAGCACGGGAAATGAGCCTTATTTGGATGATGGGAGCGATCTTGCCATACTTGCTACACTGAAATAAACACCAAAATCCATCAGACTCTGCTTTGCTGTGTGTCAGGGGTTCTTGCTGTGAAATCCCACAGTCCAGCGGCCTCAGCATCACCTGGGAAGCTGTTAAAAGTGCAGATTCTCAGTTCTTGTCTAGACCTCCTGAGTCATAAACTCTGGGGGTGGGCCGCAGCACCGTGTGTTTCAATGAGCCTTTGGAATGAGTTTGAGAACCACTGGCGCTGTGACATGATTTTGAGAAAAATTAGCACCGTTGAGTTAATTTTCCTCTGAAGAGTTAGTTTCTGAGAGAGTTCTAAAGCCAGAAGCCAAGACTTACAGAGCAGAGAGCAGGAGCAATGAAGCTGTGCCCTCCTGCCTGGAATGCAGCTGTGGCTCAGTTTTCTTGGTGCAGAGAGAAAGAGGAGCCGAGTGTCCTCATTCCCTTACTGAGCCTCAAATTTCCTGTTGCAGCACAAAACATTATTATCTAAGGACGTGCTTTGCTTTGATAGAATGTGGCATTCCATGTATTAAAGGCCTGGCATTCCCTGTTCTTTTTTTTCTGTCCCTAAAATGCCATCTGATATTTTAATTTTTGGTATGCCACATGAGTGCAAACCAAAATAGCTCGAGGTTTGGGCAGATGTTTCCCCTGATACAACTGCAAGTTTTCAAAACATTTGTTTTTGTTCTATCAGGTCTGCGAGCTGGATATTATCTTTAATTTTGAAAAGGCTTATTTCATCCTGGACGAGTTTATAATAGGTGGAGAAATTCAGGAAACATCCAAGAAAATTGCTGTCAAAGCCATTGAAGACTCTGATATGTTACAGGAGGTCAGTACACTTTCCCAAACCATGAGAGAAAGATGATGATGATGATGATAGTGTTAATAATTTATAATATTAACCAAGACTTATTGAGAACTTACTCTGTGCTGGGTACAGTTTCTGAACTATTTATATGTATTAGCTTATTTAATTCTCACAACAACTTGAAAAGGTAGGTGGTGGTATTACTCCCACTTTACAGATGAGTAAACTGAGACACCAAGAGGTTGAATGACCTGCTCAATTTCACACAGCTAGGAAGTGTGGAATAGAGATTTGAACCCAGGTAATTGGGCTTTAGAGTCTTTCTTCTTCACGTTTGGCTGAGCTTTGGAGTGCAAGAGTCCTTCACTGCCAAAAAGGTATCAAATACTTAGTGCTATTCTTTTCAAGAATAATTTTATGAGATGTATAAAAAGACTTGCATTAAAATACCTATGCTGCCCTGGGAAAGGAGAATAGCAGTACTTTGTTATTTTGTTTGCCAGGGATATTAAAGCTTTATTATTGAGCATGGCATTTATCATTTTAATTAAAATTTCTTACACCTTTTGGGAAGGCTGTGCATGTGCTCCTGTTTGCATAAAGAAATTGGGAACACCAAGGCTTGCTTGCCAAGGTGTAAATGGGCCCAGAAGCATCCATTTGGTACTGCCCTGGACTCTGGGATTTCTACATAAAATAAAGTGGGAATGTCCTTTTAGAAGCAGCACAGATTTACATCATACTTCCTCAGGGAACTTACCTACATTAGCCCCTTCATTCGTCCCAGGACACTGTGAGAAAGAGCGCTTCACCCCGCTGACCTCTGCCCTCCCAAATGAGATGCTCTGAGGGCCTGGGGTCCATCCCAGCCCGGCCACGTCTAGATTCTTCTTCCCATAGCCTCAGTGGGTCTTCCCGTCTTCCTATTTTCAAATAAGTAGGTCAAGAGGATCCACAGCATTGTAAAGTACCTTTTTAAAATTGGCATTTGGCCGGACGCAGTGGCTCACTCCTGTAATCCCAGCACTTTGGGAGGCCGAGGCAGGCAGATCACTTGAAGCTAGGAGTTCGAGACCAGCCTGGCCAACATGGTGAAACCCCATCTCTACTAACAACACAAAAATTAGCCAGGCATGGTGATGGGCGCCTGTAATCCCAGCTACTCAGGAGGCCGAGGCCGTAGAACCACTTGAACCCGGGAGGCAGAGGTTGCAGTGAGCTGAGATAGCGCCATTGCACCACCTGGGTGACAGAGCGAGACTCCATCTCAATAAATAAATAAATAAGTAAAACTGGCATTAAAACTATTTTTTTTCTGCTATTTGGAATAGGGTCATTAAATTAACAAAACACCATTAGGTGTGAACTCCCAGCAACTGTTTTGGTGCATCTTTAGGCTGATTACTTGCTCCCGCCCTGCCAGAGGATCAGTCCTCTGGTGAATGGATGTGGAGGGAAACATCTATTTGAGTGGGTGCCGTAAGCAGCTGCGTGTGCCCATTAGAAGGCCAATGCATTCATTACCAGAGGTGTCTCACCTCAAAACATGCATTTAAACTCTGATGTTGATTTGGCCGTCTCCAAATGCCACAGGGAGGAAAACTTTACAAGGCATTTGAGAAATCGGTGGTTTGGAAATTTCACAAAAGAGTGTTTCATAAAATATACTGGGAGTTGGTGGCAGGTGGAGGGAGTGGAGGTTTTTTTAACTTCAGGACCTCAGGGTCCTGACTGTGGAATCTCCTCACAGGAGAAACAGACTTTTTAACGGGGTCTGTGGCACTTCAGTAATTAAAGCTGAATTGGGGGCCAAGACACACCTGGGTTAATCTGAAATCCTCTCAAATTAGGAAGCAGGTTGTCATAAATTTGGTGTTGCTAGTTCTATTTAAATCTAGGAATTAGGTATTTCAAGAGTGAGCTCTTTTACAATTAAACGCTAATTGGTAGTTCATGTTCCTGGTGACTGAGTGGAGGGGCTTGATGGGTAGGTCTCAGGGGACCTTGCATTTAGCCCTGGTGTCCCTATTACGAGCAGGCAATGTCATGGCCGCCCTCTCAGTCTCTTCTGTTGCATTAACAACACTTGCCAAATACAGAGCGTGTTATTAGCCTTCTCTTGGGCTCTGGTATTCAGTGAAGTCAATGAATATTTTGAGGAACTTGTTGAAAAATTGACTTTGTATATCTTGCCTGCTTAAGAAGTTTAAACTGGATAGGAGCCAGTAATATACTTGCATAAAGGAAAACAAGTAGTGCTTTTTTTTTTTTTTTTTTTTTTCTCTGTGTTTTGGACCCAATCATATATTTGTAGTAACTGAAGGTTAAGGGAGACCTTTGTGACATTGCTTTAGCTGTGAGAACGGCTGTCAATCTTCAGTAGCCCCTAAGACTTTTTTCTAACTTCTACTTAATAACAGTTTCTTAGAATAATAATAACTTTTAAAAAGCTACACCTGCCTGCATATTTAGTAAGACGACACATAGTCTCAAATCTCCAGATGCTCAAAGCTTATTCGGAGTGTGTGGTGGCTAGATGTTGATAAGAGGAAAAGAGAGGAACTGTTTACTTGGTTGTGAATACTTATTTGGGGGTAACAACAATGTGGACAATGGCACGAAGTTATTAGAAGGAAAATTAAACCCTCTGGCCGGGCGTGGTGGCTCATGTCTGTAAGCCCAGCACTTTGGGAGGCCGAGGCAGGTGGATCACTTGAGGTCAGGGGTTTGAGGCCAGCCTAGTCAACATGGCAAAACCCCGTCCCTACTAAAAATACAAAAATTAGCCGGATGTGATGCTGCACACCTGTAACTCCAGCTACTTGGGAGGCTGAGGCAGGAGAATCACTTGAACCCAGAAGGCAGAGGTTGCAGTGAGCCAAGATTCTGCCACTACACCGCAGCATGGGTGACAGAGCAAGACTCCATTTCAAAAAAAAAAAAAAAAAAAATGCTGGGCACAGTGGTTCATGCTTGTAATCGCAGCACTTTGGGCCGAGGCGGGTGGATCACGAGGTCAGGCGTTCAAGACCAACCTGGCCAAGATGGTGAAACCCTGTCTCTACTAAAAATACTAAAAATACAAAAATTAGCAGGATGTGGTGCTGGGCGCCTGTAATCCCAGCTACTCAGGAGGCTGAGGCAGGAGAATCGCTTGAACCCGGGGGGCGGAGGTTGCAGTGAGCCGAGATCATGCTACTCAGACTGGGCAACAGAGTGAGACTCTGTCTTAAAAAAAAAAAAAAAAGAAAAAAAAAGAAAAGAAAATGAAACTCTCAAAGGTGATAGTGGTCATTAACCACAGGACTTGCAATACATGGGAGCAACAAACAGTAGATGTTTTACCCCGACTAACAGCCTGTCAAGAAGAGGGGCTCAAGGCCAGGTGCAATGGCTCATGCCTGTATTCCCAGCACCTTGGGAGTCCCAGGCAGGAAGATCGCTTAAGTCAAGAGTTTGAGATCAGCCTAGGCAACAGAGTGAGAAGCTTGTCTCTACAAAAAAAATGATAAAATTAGCCAGGTATGGTGGTGTGCACCTGTAATTCCAGTTACTCAGAAGGCTGACACAGAAGAACGGCTTGAGCCCAGGAGTTTTGAGACCAGCCTAGGCAACATAGTGAAAACCTTGTCTCTACAAAAAGTAATAAAATTAGCCAGGTGTAGTGGTGTGCATCTGTAATTCCAGCTACTTGGAAGGCTGAGGTGAAAGGATTACTTGAGCCTGAAAGGTGGAGGCTGCAGTGAGCAGTAATCACACCACTGCACTCCAGCCTGGGTGAGTCTTGGAAAAAAGAAGGGAAGGGCCAGATTATATCTCACGAGCAATAGGATACCATGTGCCCTTGTGTGGATGCATGCGAAACTGGTAGGTACACCCCAACACTGTCACCCTTAAAAGCGTAAACCATGTTAACAGCTAAGCCAAACCACAATGCAGTAGGAAGTCGTAACATGCAGTGTATTCAGTGTACTATATGCATAAGAAACACCACAGAGCTAGATGTATCCAGAAGAGGCCCCAAGATACAGACTCCAGCTCCTGTCTTGCAAAGGTAAGGGCAACTAAGGTTCTGCCAGCTCTAAAAGTTTGCCCCAAACCTTTAAAGTGGCAAGCTCAAGAAAATACCAACTTTTACCTTATTTGTTTACATAGCTTGAGTAACAGCCTGGCTGGGCTCAGACAGGGCAGCCAGTGTGGTGTTTAGCAGACTGAGTCATCTGGCGATGTGAGTAGTGCCAATGACTAGAGGCCACTGAACCACAAAGACAGGAAAGTGTCATCTCCAGGCCCCTCTCAAGGCTGCAGGCAGGGCCTAGCAATGCCCCCATCTGGTCATGGGTTTTTGTCAACTTTGCAAAAGTAAGATATTTTAACTGCAAAAAGTACACAGCCATACAATATAATATATGATAGAGGAGTGTCAAACAATTAATTAATGAAAATAGCATGCAACTGTTTTTTATTTGGTGATATTTGTCATCTTCAAAATTCATAATCTGTGGTCATTTCTTTTCTCATCCTAAGTACACTTTATACCTGATTTTGTATTTGTAACTTTATATTCCCATGTAAATGGTGTAAACTCTAGATTCCACAAAACCAACGTGGCCCAATGGCCTATATGATCCCTCTGCTAAGTTAAAAGATCCCACGGGCAGCATCTGTAGACGAGTAGAGGGGTACGGGACTGTCTCGGCCAATGCCCACTTAGGAAGTGAGAGCTTTGTTGAGTAGATGTGGATGACTGAACACAAGTGTTTTTCGGCAGAGGAACTCTGGGATTCTAGATAGAGCTGGTGAAAACTGGTTAGAAAACCTCCTTTGAAGGTAAGGGCAGATTTCTAGCCCTGGTATCTCCTGAGCAATCTCACTCAGCCAGTAGCCTTGGTCTCTTCAGCCCATGTCAGTCCGCGTATTTCCCAGCAGGTTCATATGATTCATATACCCTGGGGTTTAAACTGAAGAGTGAGTTGAACTTGGATTGCTAAATGAGCCGATGGTGACTCAAACGAAAGAGGCAGGTTGACTTTTTGTCCTCTTGAGCTTTCTTATTGATTCCACCTGGCGCCCTGGTGTGACACAAACATATATGTTTAAAGTAGGAGAGCGGGCAAGAGAAGGCCCATCTGTCTGGCATGGTATAGGACCGGTAACATCACTGTTAACTTTGAACTCTACCTGTAATTGTGAGTCTGTTCAAACATTTTTTTTTAAATGCTGAAAAAAAAATATTATGGCTTTGGGGCATGTTAGCAAACTTAGTAACTGATGGGCAGTATGAAAAGAATGAGATCACATCCTTTGCAGGGACGTGGAGGGAGCTGAAGGCCATTATTCTGAGCAAACTAATGCAGGGACAGAAAAACAAATGCTTCATGTTCTCACTTAAAAGTGGGAGCGAAATGATGAGAACACATGGACACATAGAAGGGAACAACACACACTGGAGCCTTTCAGAGAGTGGAGGTTGGGAGGAAGGAGAGGATCAGAAAAATAACTAATGGGTACTAGGCTTAATACCTGGATGACGAAATCACCTGTATAACCAATCCCCATGACACCTACTTACCTATATAACAAACCTGCATATGTACCTCTGAACTTAAAAGTTAAAAAGAAATATAATTGGTATACTTTGGGAGGAAGCCTTTGAAAACATATGGCAGAAATTATATATTTTTTTCCTGTGAACTTAGTAGAGAAGTAAAGAAATTCTTAAGAATTTTGGTCTTATTATCTTTTTTGTGTTGACAATTTGCATAATAAAGATGCCCTGCACAATATTGGTAATGATACATATGTTATACAGATATAATTCAGAATTCTTTAATACAGGTACCTGGATGTGGTCCTCCTGATCATTTTAGCAAACCTGCTTATCTTAAGTCAACAGTGATATCTTGGCAACTTTGCTTGAGCATTTCTCTCTCTCTCTCTCTTTTTTTTTTTTTTTTTTTGAGACGGAGTCTCACTGTCACCCAGGCTGGAGTACAGGGGCGCAATATTGGCTCACTTCAACCTCCGCCTCCCGGTTCAAGCAATTCACCTGCCTCGGCTTTCCGAGTAGCTGGGAATACAGGTGCATGCCACCACACTTGGCTAATTTTTGTATTTTTTGTAGAGATGGGGTTTTGTCATGTTGGCCAGGCTGACCTCAGATGATCTGCCCACATCAGCCTCCCAAATTGCTGGTATTATAGGCATGAACACTGCGCTGGCCAAGTATTTCTCTTATCAGACATTCCCTTTATGATCAAGCTTAACTTTTTCTCAGTTGAAAGTTACTTAATTCCAGCTCCATATGGATGTGTATACAAATTATACTCAAACTTTGGTTAGAATGCAAAGATTTTATGTCCATGTATCCTTTTGACAACTTGTTTTCAACAATGGCAAATAAATAAAAGAATGCAGAAGATTTCACAGTCTGAGGAAGGATGTGACTTAAAGGGAAAATTGTTCTAATTTATTGTTCGCTTTCAGACAATGGCAGAATACATGAATAAGCCTACATTTTAACTGGAAATCTACTTGAAGACTCCAGCACTACATGTTATGAAGCTGTAAATAAGCAACGCCTCGCATCCGGTTTTTTGATGGAGCCTCAGGCACCATGCCAAAAATAATTTAAAGGGATTCTTTGTTAACTAACAAAGTTAAAGTTGTTTAACATATTTATAATTACTGTGTGTCTGTATTATTAAAAAACAACAAAGAAAAAAAAGTATGTGTCTGTATTATACTGTATAGAGTACTTGTAGCTCTAAATGTTTCAAGTAACTACCACCTAACCCAACAGACAATATTTGTAATGTTTTAACTCCATGTTATATTTTTAAGCTAGTTTAGATAAATTAGATGCAATTTTTTGTTTTGCATTTGATCTTCTACTGACAGGTTAACAACGATATTGGAATAATCCATGATTTTGAATGTGAAGTATATATGATGTCATTAATACATTTTCTAAATGTTTAGTTTTTTAACTTGTATAATAATTCAAAATTATGTTAATAGTACAGAGTTTATATGTAATGCTGGACATTTTTCATACACTTAATAGTACTGTAACTGCAATTCACATACAAAGTGTCTGATTTTAATGTGCTGAATTCATTTTTTGTTTCAGAATTGGGATTAAGAAAATAACCAAAGAGTATAGAACTTAATAAGTGTTTTTGATGCCTTAGAAGCTGCTATCTTGACTGAGGTTTTAATTTATCTTTTAACTGAATATAAGGGACATTCCAATAAGGTTTTCTACAAACTATATATTTATTAAGGTTCATAGAGACCTAGAGATACAGTGTCTATGACTTCCTTTATTATTCTAAAATAGTATAAGGATTAATAACAATAGCAATAATAATTATTGCTACTATTTTTTAAAATTCATGTTCCAAGCACTCTTAGATGCTGAAAATGTCATTTCAAATATGTTTTAATGTATCTCTAATGTATTTGAAGGCTTATTACATGGCTTACTTAGAGTATTTAAGATTATCATGGCCTATATGGTAGACTTTTTTCCCCTTTTTTCTTTTCTCACCCTTTCCTCCCCAAGGAAAAGATTTGCTGCTGACCATTATTACTGTAAATATATCACATTTGTGCTTCCTGGAATGAAAATTCTGTATAACCAGGTACTAACAGTGATCCAACATATTACAGGGCAATAGCTTGTATGCTGGATGCAGTGGCTCACACCTGTAATCCTAGCACTTTGGGAGGCCGAGTCAGGTGGATGACTTGAGGTCAGGAGTTCGAGAGCAGCCTGGCCAATATGATGAAACCCCATCTCTACTAAAAATACAAAAATTAGGCCGGGCGTGGTGGCTCACGCCTGTAATCCCAGCACTTTGGGAGGCAGAGGTAGGTGGATCACGAGGTCAAGAGATCGAGACCATCCTGGCCAACAGGGTGAAACCCCATCTCTACTAAAAATACAAAAATCGGCCGGGTGTGATGGTGCATGCCTGTAGTCCCAGCTACTCGGGAGGCTGAGGCAGGAGAATCGCTTGAACCTGGGAGGCAAAGGTTGCAGTGAGCTGAGATTGTGCCACTGCACTCCAGCCTGGGCGACAGAGCGAGACTTTGTCTCAAACAAACAAACAAAATAATTAGCTGGGTGTGGTGGCAGGTGCCTGTAATCCCAGCTACTCGGGGTGCTGAGGCAGGAGAATGGCTTGAACCCAGGAGGCAGAGGTTGCAGTGAGCCAAGATCACACCAATGCACTCCAGGGTGGGCAACAGAGCAAGACTGTGTCTCAAAAAGGAAAAAAAAAAAGAAAAAGTAAAAGCTTGTAGTATTCTGTCTTGCTGCCTGCCATTTGATGTTTTACCTATGCATTTTCAATGTTAGCTTTGAGGTCTGGTATCATTCATATTAGAGTGGTTTGGGACCTCCAGTGATTTCCTAGAAGAGTATGTTTCCTATTGGATTCTTTGGGAGATCCCATCTGGTAGATTTTTAGAGAACCTGATGGAAAAATATTCTCTTTAGTTCATCTCAGCCGACATATTTAGGGAAAACAGCAAAGTAAGCAGGAGAACAAAGGGAAAAATTCACCAATTCCTCAATGTAACCATTATTCAAAGTGAATAACTCAGATTAGCATATAATATAATCATTAGGCTTTTACTGTCCAATATTTCTTCAAGTTACCATGTAATTACAATTATGGCATCAGCTTGAAGTTTATCATGTATGATTGATCACTCTGTTTACTTTAGCTTACCTTCAGTTTTGTGGTTTAACTTTTTAATGCAGTAGAATTCTTTCTTTTCTTTTTTTTTTTTAAGACAGAGTTTCGCTTCTTGTTGCCCAGGCCAGAGTGCAATGGTGTGATCTCAGGTCACTGCAGCCTCCGTCTCCTGGGTTCAAACGATTCTCCTGCCTCAGCCTCCTGAGTACCTGGTATTATAGGCATGCACCACCACGCCCAGCTAATTTTGTATTTTTAGTAGAGTTGGGATTTCTCCGTGTTGGTCAGGCTGGTCTTAAACCGCGACCTTAGGTGATCCACTCTGCCTTGGCCTTCCAAGGTGCTGGGATTACAAGCATGAGCCACTGACCCTGGTCGAATTCTTTATTTTTCAATACAGTTTTATAAAAATGGACCTCATGTAAATCCATCACAGTTTTTCCAGTTCTTTTGAGATTTATCACCATATTTGGATAAAGGTATATCTTGAACCTCACTCATATATACTACACATGTTCTGGATAATTCCGTATTAGACACTCTAGCTATGGACAGGGCTTCTCAGACTTCATATCAGTGTCACATATAGAAAGTAAATGTGTCTCGTCTGGGCGAGGTGGCTCATGCCTGTAATCCCAGCACTTTGGGAGGTCAAGGCAGCAGATCACCTGAGGTCAGGAGTTCGCGACCAGCCTGACCAACATGGTGAAATCCTGTCTCTACTAAAAATTCAAAAATTAGCCAAGTGTGGTGACGCATGCTTGTAGTGCCAGCTACTCAGGAGGCTGAGGCAGGAGAATTGCTTGAACCCGGGAGGCAGAGGTTGCAGTGAGCTGAGATCGCGCCACTGCACTCCAGCCCAGGTGACAGAGTGAGACTGTCTCAAAAAAAAAAAAAAAAAAAAAAAAACCGAAAAAAAGTAAACATATTTATATGGCACAGTGGGGTAAATTTGAGGGATTTTAGGGACATCTTACATGAGCCAAGGCTAAAAATAGTCATTGTGTTTTCTCTATATCATATAATTACCATAAAACTACCAAGGGAAAGGAAAGACGATAAATGTTAAATTTCTATAAAACTTTCAAAATAAAATGTTTTAACATTTTTTAATGAGTAACTTGGTGTGTTTTCATGAACATACTTTTTTAAAGTCAGATTTATGTTTGATATTGCTACTCATAATTCCTGGTGGTGTCTCTTTAATGCGACCTCTTTATTTTCTTGGTACCTACCAACAAGAAGCAACTTCAAAAGTAAGTGGTAGCAAATGGGAGAATCGTGTTTCCTACTTTTGCTCCTACTGACTTTTCTCATCATTCAACTACATTTTGGAATCTGATTTCTTTACATGTAATTAATGATGTGATTGTTTTTTAAATCTAGTGACAGCTCCTTTTCTTTCATTAACAAATGTAAAGTTGACAGTTCTTGTGATAAAGCAAGTGGATTTTTGATTCAAACTGTTTTTTCCATATCAAACCTCCTAAAATAATGATAAAGCTTTGGTCAAATGTATTGTTCTAATCTTTTTTGAGACAGAGTCTCACTCTGTTGCCCAGGCTGAAGTACAGTGGCGTGATCTCGGCTCACTGCAACCTCCGCCCGTGGGTTCAAGTGATTCTTGTGTCTCAGCCCCCCGAGTAGCTGGGATTACAGGTGTGTGCCACGTGCCTGGCTAATTTTTGTATTTTTAGTGGAGATGGGATTTTACCATGTTGGCCATACTGGTCTTGAACTACTGGCCTCAAATGATCTGCCCACATCGGCCTCCCAAAATGCTGGGATTACAAGCGCGAGCCACTGTACCCAGCCAGTGTCTTCTTTAGAATTCATATTATAATACCTATGAAACATCGTTGGTCAACTGTGTTTAATTTCACCTTTCTGAGTTATAGTCAATACATTTTACTGGTAAATTTTACCTGATAATGTGCTTATTCACAATGGTCCCTGAAAATTTTTGATTAAGTTCATTCAGATGGTGGGGAATATGAGTAAAGCAAGCCAATAAATATTCTCCAATAATCTGCAAAGGAAGACAATTAATGTTTTTTTCAATTCTTACTTTAACTCTTGACAAAAGTTTGCTGGTAGACCGTGTACTTTGGTATTAAGCAGCAATAATCTATTTTGTCACATATTGCTAAAAACAGAAACATCTGTAACATCTAGGGCTGCCTTTTTTTTTTTTTTTTTTTTTCAGTCAGGGTCTGGCTCTGTTGACCAGGCTGGCGAGCAGTGGCATGATCATGGCTCACTGCATCCTTGAACTCCTGGGTTTAAGGCATCCTCTCACCACAGTCTCCCAAACAGCTGGGACTAAAGGCATGCACTGCCATGCCTGGTTAATTTTTAAACTTTTTTTAGAGAAGCTGGGGGAGGGGGATGTTCTCCCTGAGTTCCCAGGCTGATCTTGAACTCCTGGGCTCAAGTGATCCTCCTGCCTTGGCCTGCCAAAGTATTGGGATTACAGGCATGAGCCACCATACCTGACCTTCTCAGGCTTTATTAGACTCACCTTCTGATAGAACCATTTAATGTGGAATTCAGTCCTACACAAGAACTTTTGATAAGTTCTTCATGAATAAGCTCACACATTAACTGAATCTCAGCATCTTTTCCTTGCATCTGTGCTATCACATAATTTATGCAGTGTTTCCATTACATTTAACTTATTTAAAGTGTTCATTTATTATTTTGCTTACTAGTTTGTTTTGCAACTTTACAGAATAAATAATGTTTTAAGCATTTCTCTTCAGGGTTTCACAGTTATTAACTAACAAGGGTCAATTAACCTGAGATGATTTATTTACAACTTAGCCATTCTGGAGTAGAATTATTTTAATGTCTTTGGCATGTTCTCTATCCAGTGATAATATTATTCAAAAGTGGCACTTTTTCTCTTTCCTTTGGAAAATGTTGAGAACTTCCACACAGATTGGTAAAATGAGCAGTTCTGCAATTGTGTGAGTTACATGGGCTTTTGCTATTGTTAGCTGACTTCATAACCATTTTT